ATACAGTCAACCCTTTGACCACATGTACATTAACAGGAGCATTTTTTTGTCGGTACTATGCAATTCCCTTCTAGCAAAATCTGTGATGCTCTTCCCCTGAGCCGGACAGCATGAAGGGATCCCCAGGAACAAGACAAGGGGATGCTGCAGTTTCCCCCTGTATATAGAGCAGCACAAACAGTATTTGTACTGTCTGTTGGTAGGTGGAAGGATGAATTTGGATCTAGCTTATTGACCCTCAACGCCACTGATCTTCCCCAGGAAACTCTACTGCCTTTCTGTGCTGACGTGCTGCCCTCATTTTGCCTGGATTCGGTGTTCGATATCAGATAGCAATTGATTTACTTTCCCCAATTATGTTACAGCCCTGTGGGTGGAAACAGCAGCTGGGAAACTTGAGCTGTGCTCCTGGTAAGCACTCCAGCAAAACCACCACACCCCTCCCATCAGTTCAGCTCCAAGCAGGGTGGTGTCGCAGAGGCTCACTGTAAGGTGGCAGGGGACCCCAGGCAGCTGGTGTGCAGGGGCTGGGCACTCTCCCTGGGGAAGAACAGAGGCCATGTGGAGTGGGGAGACAAGGTATTTAATTGGAGGGCCATACAGACAGGCTTTCTCCACTGCCAATTTGGGTGGCTCTTGCTCATCCTAGATAATAGCTGCTGTAGCCCCTGGTACACATGGGTGTCCTGTGTTTTGGTGGTGTAGCCATAGCTTATCAAGGGGTACTTCTGCGATTGCTGTGTTCAGGCTGCTCCTACACTGCTCTGTTGGGATGGCCTGTACAAAACCGGGCATAAGACTTGGCCTAGAAATTGCTGTAGCTATTTAAGGTGGTGCTCTCTGGTCAGACAGCCCCGGCAGAGTGACTGCGTGGGCATTCCTCATCCATGGGGTGCTCCATGGCTTCCTTCTATGCGGCTGGCAGGGCTCTGGCCGCCTGCACCTCTGACAGCGTGCGCCGTGTGGCTTTGCTCTGGAGGGCAGTGATGAGTGCCTGAGCAGCCAAAGACGTGGGCTGCTCTCCAGTGCATGTCTAGGGTTGAACTTTTTCCTCCGTCTTCAGTGGTGGTGTCCTGCATGAGCAGGTGTTGGTGGCAAATGAACTATTTCAGCATGCACCCAAGAGGCTGTTCAGCTGTACAGCCAGGGGAGTTTTCTGTGATGGGGCAAAGCTCTCGTAGCTGTGCTCACATGAGGAATGCTTTACCTGTGTAGCATGCTGTGCTCTGTGTCGGGTAGGTGTAGTCAAGATTTCTGCTGTAAGGGCAGAGCAGGTAAACAACTGTAACGAGGCAAGTTTTAACTTGATCAGATCTATATTACACCTAAGGAGGCTTTTGGGGATGTCCAGCAGAGAACATGGGGAAAGAGAGAGAGCGATTGTGCAGTGACTGTTGCTTTAGCACCTCCTGCTGTGCTGGCAGTTTGTACATTTGCACAATGAACCAGATCCTGCAAAGCAACACCCATGGGCAAAGGTCAGCTCTGGGGTACAGTTCAACCTGTGCTTGTACAGGTGGTGACATCTGATCTGGTACCTCTGAAAGAGGCATCCCAGTGGTGAGCTTGACTTGCTTGGAGATGCTACTTCTGGGCTAGTGCTGCTCAAGCATCTGCAGCAGGTCCTGCTGCTGTCCTGAGTGTAGGGGCTTCCACTCCGCATGGGAAGGGTGATGAAGTGGGACTGCCAGGTAGGAAGTGAATGCCAGTGCCCTTTTAGTCATCCGTTAGTGATGAACTTCCCGTGCAGTTGCATGCTATTTACATGACCAAATAAGCATTGGCTAAAGGATATGTGTAGCTGTGTTTTGGCATGTAAATTTGACAAGTTGAAGCACTTGCATCTGACCTTTTAGGAAGTTATTGTAGGTGGTTTTTAAAGTGCATAATAAGCTCCTGTCCTGGCTGGAGGCACGGCAGCTATGCCAGCGCTGGAGACTGATCAGACATAGTAGCCTGTCCCGGTTATTTTTCAGCTATGCGAGTTCCCTACTGCAAGTCCCTCTTGCAGCCATGTGGGCCATGTGTCGAAAGGTGGTGTAAAGGCTGGGGATATCCTGTCAGGATAGGTCCCACTCTTGTGGCCATCAGGACACTGCTCAATTTATGCTGGACTTGGTGTACTAGGGGGCCGAGGGGAACTGGTATGGGTTTTGTGCCTTCCTGAGCTCCTGTCCAGATTCACACTGAAAGGCAGCTTGGTTGGCAACCCCGTTGAAGGCTCCTTAGTTCCCCTGTAGCAGTAGGACTGTAACAGTGCTTCTCGGCATCTTTGGGCATATAAATGCTTTTGGAAACATAGATCTCCTCCTTCTCTGCAGCCCCTCCATTTTAGTTCCTTCTTTGAAGTGGAACTTTATCTGTTAGTATGGTAAATAGTGGGATGTGTAAATATAGGCATGTGTAAATACTGTCAATAAGGCACATGGTGTAGCTGTGCTGTTTCCCCACAGGGAATACAGCTGGGCTCCCAGGGATGCTCAGGACTGGCTTGTGAGTGTGGTCAACCTCTGCTGCAGGCAGAGGGGCCTGTCTGGGGAGGAAACACCCCTCACATCACCTGAAACACCCCTTCCCATACCTGTAATCAATTTGGATCAGGTTCATTTGATAATTCTCAGTTAATTGTGCTAAAATTATGCAGGGAACAGAAGGCACCCTGTGATGGGCTGAGCCAGAATTAACCAATTGCCCTGAAAGATCAAAACATCTGTCAAGTGCCCTGTTGTGAGCTCCCCAGGGCATGCAGGCAGTGCAGTTTTGGGGGTGGAAGGTTATGTTGGGAAGCAGCAGGTACCTCTGCCTGCCCTCGTGGTCCCCAAGTAGTCAAAGAATTCCTGACAGAGAGGACTGGTCTCTAATCTGGTACTAAATTTGTTAATATGCTGGTGGCTACTTTGGGGATGGAAATGGTAAAGTTAGCAGTCTATCTGTGTAATGTTTAATGAAAATGGCCTGTATCTATATCTGCATATATATCTATTACTGTGTCAGCAGGTTTTGGCGAGGTTATGTATGAGACTGGCCAGCTTGCAATTTGAGGTGCAAAATTTTACTGAGATCAGGGAATATGGGTTGGAGCAGGGAGCCCAAAGGAATGACAGCTCCTGCAGTCATCAGAGCTGTACTAGGAAAACACAGAAACTGGGTTTGGGTTTGTGCAGCCCATCTGTGTTGTTGGTTGGGTGACCTGGGAGGTGTATGGGTCTGTGCTGATATCTGTTGACATCTGCATGTCAAGGACTAGGGGAAAGGTGTGCATGGAACCAGGTTGGTGCATGGGGTTTCAATTTGAAGGACAGAACCCCTTTGCAGAACCATAGACCAAGGACTGTGGGTTGGAGGAGGAACCAAGGAGAGTGACAGCCCTGCCACCACCGGAGCTTCCCACACCATTGTACTGTAGTGACTTACGCAGGGACGCTTGGTTTGTCATTGACGATGTGGGAAAGGGAGTGCCCTGTAAACATGCCTCAGTAACATGCTAACTCACCAAGTCCAGGAGCAGACATCTGTTTCTTTTTAGTACGTACGGTACAATTTGGGCAGGGTGACCTGGCCCTCCATGATCCAGCGTGGTGATGGAGCTGATCTGCTCACAGCCTGGAGCAGCAAAGTTCCCTACCCAGCCTGCAGGACCAAAGCACACCAGTGCACCACCTTGAGACACCAAGGCAAGAGAAGGGTAATCCCTGCAGGCGCTGCCCAGACAGCACAGGGTTACCCTGAAACCTGCAGCAGCCCTGGCCCTGCAGCTCCCTTCCAGGGGAGTGGGACTGTAGGGCTCAGCACACCGCAGCCACACAGACCTACAAGCCCCTTGGGAGGAACCTGGCAGCAGCACTAAGTTTCCCAGTCCAGGAGCATGGCCCTCCCAGGAGCTGAAACGGGTGGCTCGGCAGTGCTGTGCAAGGAAAGAGGATGGTGTGAGCCTCCCTGGTTATGCCTTGGAGCAGGGCAGTGTGATAAAGCTCCTCTGCCCACCGATGAAGGGGCTCAGAGACAATAGCAGGAGCGGGAGCCCAAATCATACCCTGCTGGGCTACTCCCGGGTCCATCCCAGAGGCCATCAGCCCATTACAGGCCCATCTGTACAAGCCCAGAGCATGGACAAGCAGGGACATGCAGTGGCAGGTGGGACCCCAAGCCAAGGACCCCTGAGGACTGAACACCCTGTCCAGGCCTCTCCTGGGGTTGTCCCAGCAGACCCTCAGCCCTGGTGTCCAGGCATGACACCCATCACCATGAGCCATGGGGAGCATCTCTCAAGATCACCTTTCAGACTAGGAGGTTGCTGCCAAGGGCTGGGACACATTATGGAGTGCAGGGGAAAAGCAGTTTGGGATTGCACAGGACTTAATGGGATATTTAGGGGAGGAACCAAAGGTGGGACAAGAAAGGTGATTTGGGGAGGAACAAGAGTGGAAAATACAGGGGTAAGGGGATAAAAGGGGTCAGTTTTGTGTAGGTAGGTGGCTGGTCAGTGCGTTTGTCTGGCCATACCCTGCCCAGCACAGTCTGTCCTGTCTGGACAGCAACTGGAGTAGGGCTTCGGCCTCAGGGCTTGTCCAGGGGCCAGGAACTGGGCACACTGAGTACCTAAGCACAGCTGCTGCAGGATCCACCTTGTACATATATTTTCAGTAATGGACTTCCATCCTGTCAAGCCAGAGACAAGAGCAGGATGAGGCCATTGCTGCTGTCAGTGTTCATGTGGGTGCTCTTCTGTGATCTGTGTGGCCAGTCACATATATATACATACATGTAGTGGATATGTGTGCTCTGTGCCTGCTGGGAACACATCTTCAGCCTCACTACTGGTTGGATCTGGGGACATGGAGCAGCAGCAGCAGCCTCGCCACTCTTTGGCTGTTGCATCCAGATGATGTATTTTCCTCTAATGCGTAGCAGCTAGGTTTTTAAGGTACTTCATGAATGTTTGTTCTTACCATCAGCATCTAACAAACTTTATGGCTTCTTTCCGTTTTTATAGGAAAAAACACCACCCTGATCCAGACACTGAAACTTGTCAACTGATGGGACAAAGATCTGAGACACTTGGCTGTACTAGGACACTAAAACATAGGGTTTAGCCAAAGAAAATTTCCCCAACGTGGAGGCTTACACTTGCCAAACCCTGTAGCATTCTTGGGAGGCTTTTCTATACTTCTCTACTTCCAGCCTTTCACACATCATGGTATTCCTTTTGACTTCTTTTGCAAGCTAGCTCTGGCTCTGCCTTCTGCTTCCCCTTATGCTTTGGTTTGGGTTACTGAGTGTGAGCTGCCGGCTGTAGGCTGTTTCTGCATTTCTGCCTCCAGCTTCTACTTGGAGGCTCCTCTTGGATGTTGTGACTGACCTGCTTTTTCTTTCTCTTTTACTGTATCTCTCTCCCCCCAATCTGTCTTTTGCATTCTCCATTCTTCCCACCTCCATTACTGCAGGTTCATCATGCCTAGTGGCATATAAAAAGACTCCACCTCCTGTCCCACCTCGGACCACATCAAAGCCGTTCATCTCTGTCACTGTGCAGAGCAGCACTGAATCGGCGCAGGACACCTATCTGGACAGCCAGGACCACAAGAGCGAGGTGACCAGCCAGTCGGGACTCAGCAATTCTTCAGACAGCTTGGACAGCACCAGGACACCCAGTGTGACGAGGGGAAGCGTCGTGACTCCAGCAAGAGAGACTCCAGAGTTACCGCAGAAAAATGCAACTTTGAAAAGTGACAAAGGGACTCTGACTAGCGAAGAGCCTAAAGTGGAGAATATCCCCAAAAGAAAGCTGTCGTCTATAGGAATACAAGTATGGAATAGTTTGTTCTCCTTTGTCCTAAGGAATGTCCTTAACCCATCCATATAGCGTGTGCATTTTGTGTGACCAGGTGTGCATCTGAACTCACTTAGAATAGCAAGAGAAACTAACTGCCTTGTCAAACTAACTTCCTGTGTTCCCAGGGGTGAAATACAGCAGAAGCTTTCCATAACAGACCAGAAAGGACTAAGTTCTTTTAGTAGAAAATTAAAATGTTTCATAAAGCAGTGGGACCATGTTAACTGGGTGAGTCCCTCTAAAGAGGCCTTTTGCTGCTAATATGCCTGTGCTGAGCCTGTGCTCTGTACTATGTATTACTTAACATCAATCTGCTCTTTGTCCATCACGGTTCTAGGGACAACTTTCTTCTGAGAGGTGGGCCTTTCTACTTGACATCCATGTAGTATGGGCTGCTGCAGTGCGAAATGGTCCCAGGGCTGTAGGCAGGAGTGATTCCTTGCTGTCCACTGTTCCCAGCAGGTCGCTGCTTCTCTTGCTGGAAGCATTTAACTCCGTGGAAATCGATGGAAATGAGCTGTTGATTATATAGTCAAATGAGATCCCATTGAGTAGTGTAAATCCATGCTTTATTCAGCAAAACTTAATTCATCTGCAATTACATACACACTCTTTGTGGACAGATTTCCCAGTTACAGATGGCTGACTGCTGTGAGCACTTGTTCTGTCCCAAAGTGCTGGTTCAGTGCTGCAGGCTATTACCTGTAGATAGGAACTTGAGCGCTTGGGCAAGTTCAAATGCAGGATCTGGGCTTTGAGCCACCGCGTGTGCTGAATAAGTTCTCCACTGGCTTTACAGTAAGGCTAGCTGGCCAGTTAGGTACATGTGATAGTGAAGGCTTTTCTGCAGGGCTAGTGGGGCAAAACACATGCTGAAAGGGCAGCAAGGCAAGAAACTCACATTGGAGAGGCCGACTGCTTTCCTCTCCTCTTTCTTTTCTGAGGTGGTTCCCAAGCTACCTGCCCCACAGCCTGGATTTCCTTCCTAAAACCTTCTAACCTTCTTATCCAGAGCTATGGAGGGTGTCAATCCCTGGGAGAGAGGAAGCTGGGCTTTGCTGTCAGTCTTAATCAGATCGCTGCCCTCTCTTGAATCTCTTGGCCTTTGCCTGTGTCGGATGCCACACATGCAGCTGCTCCCTCAAGGGGACACAGCTCTTCCCCAGCATGCCACAACCATGCAAACAGTGGTGGATGGCAGAGCCAAGTGCTCTTAGAGCAGATACCTGGCAGCAGCTCGGCGGGATACAGTCCTGATGCTCAAGTGAAGGCAGACCTGAGCAGTAGCCTTGTGCCTCTCCTCAGACAACCCTCCAGTTGGCGTATGGTGTCAGCATGCTCTGTGTGTGTGCAGCACTCCTGGTCTACTGATGTGAATTCCAGCAGCAAGTTCTTGTGTCTGTTTTTGTCTGTATTTTTTTTGTTTAATAAGGTTGACTGCCTTCAGCCAGTGGCAAAAGAGGAGCCTCCTCCACCAGCCACCAAATTCCAGTCCATCGGGGTACAGGTAGAGGACGAGTGGCGGTAAGTGAAAGACGCAAGCTTTTGTAGTTTCCTTTCTTTTAAATTGCGCTTCTCCCACTTTCGCTTAGACCTTCTCCCCTTCTTTGTTCCAATATGAGTGGTGTTGAATGGGGGCCCATGGAGAGCTCTTCCTCCACAGCACACACCCGCTGCAAAAAGCACTTGTTCTGTAAACAGCCAAATCAATGGGAGTTTGAAATTTAAAAAAAAAAGTACAAGATGTAATTATAGATGTGCGTCAGTCCTCTCGTCTGAACGGCCTATTGCAGTAAGCAGGCAACCTTATAATTTTGTCTGTCTGAATGTGTGGTGTGTGTTTGTGTGTGGGGAGGGGCAGGGCGGGCAGGGTGAGGCTCAGCTGCAGGCATAATAAACAAATGCATTTCACTGTCAGTGTGTGAGGCCAGCCAGGTTGAGTTCTGCTATTTAATGTTTGCTTTTGATCTCTCTAGAAACAGCCACTCTCGCAGCATGTCCTCCAAACAGGACACAGACTCTGACACACAGGAACTTAATAACTCTAGCGGTAAATCATCTGAGAGAAGCCTTGCTGAGTGCCCCCAACACAACAACTCCGTTGGTGTTGATGCCACTACCAGGCAACCAGCCAAGCCCTCACAGATTAAGAGAAACCTCTCCTATGGAGAAAACAATGACCCAGCCCTGGAGCCTTCCTCTCTCCCCCCTCCTGACCCCTGGCTTGAGACATCCTCCACCTCGCCATCAGAACCCACGCAGCCAGGAGCCTGCCGGCGGGATGGGTACTGGTTTCTGAAGCTGCTGCAGGCAGAAACAGAGCGGTTAGAAGGCTGGTGCCGCCAGATGGACCAGGAGACCAAAGAGAACAATCTCTCTGAAGAAGGTAGGGGTTGTCAGCCTCCGGACACTAGACTGGAGCAGCCTAGCAGCTCCTCCCTCGAGAAAGAGTTGTAACTGAGTATTGGATCAGCTTTCTTCAGTTAAATTGCTGATAGCCCACAGAGTAAGGGTAGAACATGGAGATGAGTATGGGACAAGGAACATTTTTTCTTTGGAAAGCATAAGGTAACTTCCTCTAGCAGATGGGGTAAGAAATAATACTGTGATGCAGCATGGAAGACTTTTCAGGGGACAGTGCAGCTTCTGACAATTCAAAACGGCTAAAAGCTTAAATGGATTGCTTTCAGGGAGGCTGTGAGATCTTTCTCCCTGCCTAACCCATTGTACTCAAGTGGGCAGGTGAAAGTTCAGTTGGCAGTGGGGCAAAATGAACATAACTTCTGAGCTTGTTTGATCTGTTGAATCGGTAGACTTGTTTTCACAGCAAAGAGGAGGTTTCTTCATATGGGAAGGCTTCACTGAATCTGTACTAAATACACCAAAAGCACATGCACAGGGAACACAAGGCCACTTGATTTTATTGGGTTCAGTCCCAGTTGAGCTTGTTTTATTATTTCCAAATGAGTTGGCAAAACCTGTACTTCTTGCAGTGAAAATCATGGTGCATACATGATGCCTATGGTGCATACAGAGTGACAGAAGTGGGTGACTAGGCTGCTGTGGGCAGGATTTTTGTTTTTTGAGTCTGGTTGATTTTTATTTTTTTGATACCTGAGAAAGGTGAAATAATGGTGAGATTCAGTTATAGCTTACTGTCACTGCTAGGACTTGGGGGAGCTAATCTCTAATCCTATTGCACTAAGATGCTGCACTGGCTGCCAAGCTGGACAGGCAGTGCCAGGGCTCTCCACACCTCAGGGGATGCCCTTGTTTTGCCTGTGGCAAGAATGCTCTGGCAAGAAAAGACACCAAGACCAGTGTGGCATTATATCTGTGACCTCTAAGAGCAATCTCCTAGTAGATTCTGTAACCGAGAACTTGGTGGGTACAGAGAACTTGAACAGAGAACAGCTTACACTTGTACCACCAAGATCTATAAACATTCAGAACTGATTCAGTAGGTGCAGCAGCAGACCAGGGAGGAGAAGGGGAATCAGTTCAATCCCTGTTCCTGGTGCAGTTGCATGCACTGTGGGTCTCTCAACCCTGCCTTTGGAAGGGAAAAGCCCATACAGTGTTTTTTCCATTAATGAGCAGAGGAATGTTGCCATACCCAGAAGCTTCTTGGAAAACCCACTAAGAGCAGCATAAAGTTCTGGGTATTAAAAGCCCTAGCCTGCCAGTGTTCTAATCCCTTCTGGTAAATGGAGGTTGGAGATGATTCTCCTACCCCTTGCCACCTTCACCTACTGCATGGAAGAGTGGAAGAGCAGGTTGTGATCTGCAAGCAGGTGCCAGCAGATCTGCTCACTGAGATTGTGCTGGTGGCTTGTCTGATGGGCTGAAGGCAGTTTAAGGTACTTTCTGCAAACTCTGATGTAATGTTCTCAGTCTGGCCTGCTTTTGACCTGCTCTAGAAGGAGCAATAATAGATGGCAAAGACAGATGTAGATTATAGTTTCAATGCATCTTCTTTCCCTGAGAGCAGTTACTTCCTTGGGGGTCTCTGAAACTCCTGTTCTAATGAATCAAGAGTGTTTCTTTGCTCCAGAAACACTTGAGTTCATTGCTGCATTTAAGTCTGTTCAACTGAGGTCTTTTTCTTTTTCTGTCCCCCATAGTCTTAGGAAAAGTCCTGAGTGCAGTGGGCAGTGCACAGTTACTAATGTCACAGAAGTTCCAGCAATTCCATGGCCTCTGTGAACAAAACTTGGTGAGTCTGGATCTATTTCTCCTGGGTTTTGGGAGGGGGATATATCTGTTTCAATAGCACTAGAGGTGCATGATTAACAGGTATTAACTGTCACTGTAAAAGCAAAGTCAATGCAGCTGTAGCCTACAACCTGACCACCATGCCATAATGGATGAATGCTGATTTAAAACAGCAGCTGAGCAGTGGGAGGCTGATTGCCTCAATCTCTCTTCTGAATAGGCAATTCTTGGGCTGTGCTCTGCTCAGGGATGAGTGTTTGCAATTCCTTTTGGTGCTTATGTGAGCGCAGGGGAATTTTCTTGAACTGCTGATCAGGGCATGCTGCTGAATACACTGAGTCTCTCTGTGGTCTGAATTGTCAACCAGTCATACTGGTGTATATCCTGGAAACTACCTCTTTCTTGTTACTTCTAAAGGGCTTTTTGAGGTGAACCACTGAGGTTTTGCCAAATACGGGGGAATGTTTGAAAAGTCTACTGTTCTTCTCCAAATGTGCTTGCTTTGCATGTAGATTATGTAATGGTAAAACTGTCCCATCAGGACTGTCCCTCATGGGTCACAAAGCACCATTTGAATCGGATCTCTTCAAATGTAATGCACGGGTTTGCCCTTGCTGAGCACTGAAGAGGGCTAACGTGGGGATGGGTGGGAATCTGTGTTTTGTTCTTCCCTTCACACTTTATCATGGTATGGATTTTGCAAACTTTCTTAGAGGTGAATTCCCCTTTACTTGCAAAAAAAACTTAGAGAAACTCAGGAAGGAGGAGGAGGGGTGAATTGCTGAGCATCTGCTTGCTGATCTCTGGCTGATCATGGCTGAGAGATTAGCAGCAACACCACTAGCTGCCAGGCTTTCAACAGAACTGTGTGCTGAGGTCTCCCTTTGACACTTTGTGCTGAGTTGCTCAGATCTGATCCCATGCTTTCCTGAGACAATCCAATCCTATGATGGCAGTTCAGATGTCTGAGAACTGGGAAAATTCTGTTCTTGGAAGAAACTTAAGCTACTTAAAATTTTTCAACCTAGCCTGAGAAATACTGATACTTCCAGTTCTGGGGAGGATGTAGCAAAGTAATTTTGCTCCTGAAAGCTATATTGGCTTCTTCGGATTGCTGTACACTGGCATGCACGTTCTCCAGGTGTCAGAGCTGTGCTTTGCATCATGTCGTGTCCATTTCCATTATTACCGACCCTGAAATCAGAATGTCTGTGTAAGAAACCACTGTTCAAGCTCTGAATCATGGGCTGGGGACCTTCAGTTGGAGGTTTCTCCTCTGGGATTAGCACTAGCTGGGGAAGCTTTGGGGAGAATGGAACTATTGCTTTCTGCTACAGAGAGTATCTTTTTCAGGATTCTTCTTCAGGCTCCTATAGGAGAAATACAGCCAGGATCTCTGCTTCCTGATCTTTGCAGAAATAGATTTGACTGTAGATGATGGCATAGTGTGTCTGCATATTTTACAGCTGGTGTCTCCTGTGGGTTCTTGACATTTCAGTTATCAGGCTAGGTAGACTTACGATGGGTGAATATGTAAGCTGTGCAATCTGCTCTGCTTGTCAGGAGGGTATATTCTTTCTGAAAGGTGGTGGTTTTTTTATGCTTTCCCTTCTAGAACCCTAATGCCAATCCCAGACCCACAGCCCAGGATCTAGCTGGGTTTTGGGATCTCCTGCAGTTGTCCATTGAAGACATCAGCATGAAGTTTGATGAGCTGTACCACCTGAAAGCTAATAGCTGGCAATTGGCAGAGACACCGGAGAGAAAGGTGAGTGTGGGGCAGTTGAGAGTGGCCAGAGCACCTCGCAGACATTTTGGGTATCTGAGATCTATTTCCGTCTGCAAACAGAAGATCTCTAGGGCTTTTACCACATTGCACTTGTGCAGTGTAATCTCACAGCCTTGCAATGCACTGAGACCATTCCTCTTGAGTAATAGTGGAAACAATTTTGTACAAGGGGAAAAAGTGTTACGATGGAGAGAGACCAGAGCAATGAGTAGTGTATGCTTAAAGCAGTGATACAGAGGCCTCTAGTGTTACATTCACTGTATGAACAGGTTTTAACTATTCTTGGTGTCTGAGTAGTATAAAAAACACCTACTGGAACCTTTTGAAAATGCAGCACAAGCTGTGTCCCTGGGCCAGGCTTCCTGACTAGACATGAGGGTAGGAAGGAGGACTATGGCTCTGGGCAGGGTGGCATATTAAAATTTTGCAGTTCCAGATCAAGTTCAGTCTTCATGCCACCTGTGCTGTGCTCTGACCTATAGCTGGGCCAGACATAGGCTGCAAACTCTAGTCCACTTCACAGAAAGCCTCTGCATCATGAAATGCGCAATGGCACATTTCTAGAAATTGGGGAAGCTGATTTTGAGTGTCTTGCTCAAGAACTGGCCCTGCTTCTTTCACCTGACAGTCAAACTCATTGCTTAGTCCCTCATGCCATAAGAGTCCCCACCACATCAGAGAGCAAGCTTCTGTATGTGCATTTTTATTTTATGTTTGGGTTTTTCCTTACTGTCTCCCTAAAGGAAGAGAAGAAACCACCCCCTCCAGTGCCAAAGAAGCCAGCCAAGTCCAAATCCCAACTGAACCGGGACAAAGCCTCTGATTCAGACAAGCAGCGCCAGGAAGCTCGCAAGCGTCTTATGGCAGCCAAGCGGGCTGCCTCTGTCCGGCAGAACTCGGCCACAGAGAGCGCAGATAGCATCGAGATCTACGTACCCGAGGCACAGACCCGCCTTTGAGCAAAGGGGCAGAGGAAGGAACCGTGTGGTTTTTATAAGTCATTAAAAAGGAAAAAAAAAAAAAGGTTCTCTCTAAACTAGTGTGATTTATTCAGTCTAGAGACAATGAGCCATCCTTGAAAAGGGCTCCTGAGTTGGCTTTTTTCTCTCAGCTTTAAGTAATGAAGATTTTAAAAAAACAAACAAAAAAAGAAAAAAATATCCCTCGTTTTCTCACTGGCTGTGGTGTTGCTGAATGGACTGAACAGACTCCTGGAAACTCCAGCCCCTCGACTTGGAACTTCAGTCTTTTTACTTGTTCTATCTAATGAGAATTATTAGCTTGTTTACAAGAAGAGGACAAGAAAACATGAAGCCTTGAGCACTTGCCATGCTGTGTTCTTCCTCCTCCTGGTTCTGTTCTTCCTTCTCATCCTTTATTTTTTTCCTCCTTCTGCTCCCTTTATCCCACCTTTTGCATGGCTTCGTTTACCGTGTTAGAAATAACCTCTCTTCCACAGAGCTCCCGAAGAGAATACCCATTCAGTGTGTACTACTGTTGCACTCTGCTAGCAAGCAGCCTTTCTTGGGGTTTTTTTTTTTTTCCTTTTGATGGGGATATTGGGGTGGGGGGAGGATGGGTGGGCAGGGACAGGGCAGTGGGTTTGTATTCCTCTGTTTTATTGAAGTGAGAGGATGACAGGGTCTGTGGAATGTAATGCAGAGTTGTTGAAACGCAGCCCAGAAGCAAATGTGCAATAAGCTGGCAAAGGGGGAAGGGACAGTGCTTGGCTGGCTGATCCCAAGAGAGCAGTACCCTACTCCAGGCACAGGAGGGGAGCTGGAGGACTGCAGAGCAACTATGGGCACGATCCACACATGCTTCACTTTGATTTTTCTCCTCTTCCCTTTACAAAATTATTTTCCTTGAATTGCTTGTTGAGAAAGAAGCTGCTACACTGGGGGACCTGTTTCAAAGTGGGCTGGGGAAGGGGAGGGCTGGGGAGAGTGCAACGGTATTTCAGGGTGGGAGGACTGGGTTTTGTACAAAGAGGAAGGCACAGGTAGCTGGTGGTAGGCTGCCTGCCTGTATGTATGTGTACATATGCACATATACACTTAGTAGTACCTGTACATTTAATTCATACACACGTATACATGCCCATACGCACAGTGCAGATGGTGTACTAAAAGCACCTTGGTGAGAATGGGCATATGTATAGCATATATTTTTACATGTACTATATCTAGATGTGTGTAAAAGTGTGTGTAAAAATATATACCCTGTGTGTAATCAGATTACTATTTTTTCCTTATCTCCCTGCTCTCTGGGTAGAGGAAGGATTGCTAAATATTTTTTAGCCCATTTTTCCCCTTTGTAGGTCTCCTTTTCAGTCTGGCTTCTTGAAGTCAGAACTGCCACCACTGGATTCTTTGCCACCCCCTCAAAATAAGCATTTGGCTCCATCCTGATCTTGTTGGGGATTTTTTTTTTCCTTCACTTGCTTGAATGAGTTGGGAGGTTGTGTGTTACTTTCATGGGGGTGGGGGTAGAATCCCAAAGAAGTTTCAGCAAGGGTGTTGGTGATCCAGAAGGCAAAAAATAAATAAAAGTGAAATCCTGAATGATGTCTGAGTGACCATTGTATACTGTCCAGTGTTGTCCATGCATAGGTGCTCTTAAAGATTTCTGCCCTCCTACCATAAACTCTCAAATATGGAATTAGTTTCCCATCAAAGCTTGGCCATAATGTAACTCAAATTCAGCATTGTGGGTAGAGACACTGACTTGTTGGGTTGCACTGTCAGGTTTTTGGGGAGGATTGTAAAAATGCAGTTTTTGAGATCTCTAACATTGAAATTGGGAACACCAGGGAAAGGTGGTTTTGGTTTATTGTTTTTGTTTTTTTTTTTTAAATTTACTCTTACAAAAGTGGCTGAGGCTGCTGCTGAGGAGCTGGCCTGGAAAGCTGCTTTTCCCGGGCTGGTGGTCTGTGGTCAGCAGCCCATCTTGCCGAGCTGTCAAATGATCTTCAATCCCCGGGGCTGAGATCACTCTTCGTCCTCAGTCAGTTGCACCGGCCCCTCAGGGTGTGTTTTGTGGGCTGCAGCCAGGACAGATGAAGCGAGGCATTGATGCTGGCCGTTCTGCGTGCGCGGGTCTCCAGTGTGAGGCCGGGTAGCGGAGGCAAGCGCATGTGCCTGCCTGACTCATTTTGTTTCCTGCCACCTTGGAGGAGAAGAACTTACAGCAGCAAGGACAGCTGGCTGACTTACCATAAAAAAAAAATAAATAAATAAACAAATGCAGTCTGAATTTGTAGCTGCCTGCAGTCTCTCTCCCTCTTTATTCTCAGCAGTGGTATCCATGACTGGTTTGTAATGGGCTGCGTCCCAGCAGTGGGGGCGAAACTCAAAGCTGTTCTGGGGAGCGCCCCAGCAAGATGGCTGACGCGTCGGAGGGCTGTGGGGTGGGTGGGGCATGCAGGGAAGTCCCACCCCCTCCTGCAGCCTCATAGGCCA